TATTAATATGAGAGTGGAACGATAGTGAGCTATCGAGGATGACACCCAGGCTCTTGACCTGAAGGGAGGGGGACACAGTGGAGTTATCAATAGTGAGAGAAAAACTGTTGGTTTTGTGTAGGGTGGATTTGGTACCGACGAGGAGGAGTTCTGTTTTGTCACTGTTAAGTTTGAGGAAGTTATATGTGTACCAAGATTTAATTTCTGAAAGGCAGTGTGAGAGGGAGGAGGGTGGGAGGGATGCGTCGGGTTTGCTGGAGAGGTAGAGCTGGGTGTCATCCACGAAGCAATGAAAGTGTATGCCAAATTTACGGAAAATATTGCCAAGGGGGAGAAGGTAAATAATGAAGAGGAGGGGTCCCAAGACAGAGCCTTGGGGCACACCGGAAGAGACAGGGAGGGACTGTGAAGTGAAGGAATTGAGTTGGATGAACTGAGAACGCCCATAAAGAAATGGTGGTGTAATGTTTGATTCCAGCGCGTACGGTATCCGCAATAGCCAATCAGGACCCGACTAAAAATAATGTTAGGTACGCACATTTATGCGCGACAAATATCGCAATCTTTGCATGCAAGAGCCCTGCAAGGTTTTTGTTTGTGTGGCATTACACAAGACATGTCTGCAAAATGTGTATGTATTCGCAAATATTGAGAGCCGAGGACACTGTTGTAGATTGGTATTTGGGACGCAACATTTAAAAAAAAAAAAAGTTAACATCGCTTAACAAGTTAATCACTTATTATGAAAATGTATGTGGACATCTCTACTTATTCCCACATCAACCTCTAAAAATATCAGAATGATCGGCCCAATATTTTGTAATTCATGGAGGAACACTACGGCAATATCAGCAAGCAACGAGCCATTTGAACCCATTTCATAAAAGAAACCACGGGAGCCATTTGGACATTGAAATGAGGATCACATTTCTTTCCATTCATCCATCCATTTTCTGATCCGCTTATCCTCAGAAGAGTCGCGGGGGGTGCTGAAGCCTATCCCAGCTGTCTTCAGGCAGTAGGCGGGGGGAACCCTGAACCGGTTTCCAGCCAATCACAGGGCACACACAGACGAACAACCATCCCCGCTCACACTCACACACCTAGGGACAATTTGGAGTGTTCAATCAGCCTGCCATGCATGTTTTTGGAATGTGGGAGAAAACCGGAGTACCCGGAGAAAACCCACGCAGGCCCAGGGGGAACATGCAAACTCCACACGGAGGCCGGAGCTGGAATTGAACCTGGTACCTCTGCACTGTGAGGTCGACACGCTAACCACTGGACCACCGGGCCGCCAAATTTCTTTTGGATTTTTCTTTGAATTTCTGAAGCAGACACCCGTTGAACCAGGTGGCCCAACTGAAGCCATGTGTCAGCGCAGCCGCCATATTGGATGTCTCCAATGTATTTGATATAAAATCGACAAGTAATGTTTGTCAAATTGAGTTAGAATAACAATGCAATCAAAAGCATTGGTTCTGTATTAATTTAGTGAGTTCTCGCCTGATGACACATCTCCAGAGACCAAGTGAATAAATATCCACACTTGAGTTTCACTTTGCCACATCCAATAGGGCTCCGGCATTGACGTACTCAAGAAGGTTACCCAATGTTATGTGTATTATAAATGTCTCTGAGAAAACTTGCCAGCAGTTGTTGCAAAGGGCACCATTCAAGACTATTGACGAGGAGTGCTATGCGTATACCGCTATGTCCAAATATATGAAGTAAAGTAAGTACTGTCTGTAGGGTACTAATAATAACTGCAATAACTCATGCATTTCAGTTGCACCCATGCAGGCTGGGCTCTGGTGACAGGTCCGATCTGATCTGATGTTAAGAGCCTACTCTGTGCAATTAATTTAATAAGCCCGTATCTCGCTGAGCGGTGAAGATGTGTATTTGTCCAAGGCTCGAATGCTGATTTTTCATCAGGGTTAGTTCAAAGTCGCAAATGGTCACAAAGAAGTTTGCCATACATTCGCCGACAGTTTTAATGATCGCACACATGCTGAAAATGTCTTTGTGACATGAAGAACATTTTGCAACTGTTTGCAACCTTTTAGCAACCCTGACCAAAAAAAAAAAAAAAAAAAATCTTCGCTATATCCACCATCACTTGTGGCCGAGTGAAATACGGGCTTTCGGGTTTAATTGGGAAGTTCGTGTAAAGGAGAGTGAATTCTTACAGCATCTGTTCCCAGTGGTGGCAGGGTATCAAAGTCATCCAAAGAGGCCTGAGCAGCCTGGACAGCGTGCATACTGGAATTGATGGTACCAGTCAGGGCTTGCTGAGCTGAAGTCTGCAAACACACAAAAATTCCACAGATAACAATCTACAGGTGCTCCCAACACTATCGATGTTCCATTTGCAAACTCTATACTTGAAATGTCCAACCTACTACCTGGGGGCCCATGAATTAAAAATAATAATAATATGCCATTATAAACCAATTGCTCATTGATCAACTTGATGACTTGATTTACTTACAATACGTAATAAAGGCAACTCCACAATGAGAGAGAAATGAAAGAAGACAAAAGATGATTTAGAAGAACTCAAGCCAACAAGCAGCTCAGCAATTGGGACTTTCCTGCAAACAGAGGGAGGCAATTGCCCAAGGCCACAGTGATGTGGAGTAACCTCAAGGGTCTAAAAAGACTGCATCTCTCTGTCTTGAGGAAGATGGTAAACCTCTAAGTTGCTCTTTCCTCAGACCGCCCTGCACATTTTTTTTTAAACTGTGGGACAAGAAGGGAACGTTGTCTTCATCTACATATTCAAGAAAAGCTGGGTTCCTTGCTCCCTGTTTGTACTTATGAATGCATCCCAAGCTTGATGATGCACTGCAACAATGCTGGGCAATAGTTTTGAAGTTGCACAAAATACAAATGTAACTCAAACTGGGGGCTTTTCAAACTTGTATAAAATCTCAATGACGATTGGAATTAAAAAGGTTTCAAAATGTGAGAAAACAGTCATAATGCGTTGGAACAAAGTTTTTTTTTTTTTCCGAGAACAAAAAGTTGCAGAGAATAAAATTGTAACCAAAAAAAAAAGACATAGCTTTAATCTCATAATATTGTCTTTTATTCTAGAAAAGACATATTTTGTTCTAAAATATGACCTTATTCTCTTGCGCCCCCCTCCCCAAAAAAAAAAACATTCACACCAAATGCACTGGTTTCAGTCATATGTGCTTTCTAGTAAGTCATGTTTGTTTCACCAGTGGGGGCATATGTCCTCTGTGCATCTGTCCACTGGTGATGTGCTGCTTGGCCTGAGGCATTGAGCCCATCTGGAAACTCTCGGGACCGCCGGCTCCCGAGCGCATGATGGCTGGCAGGGCCACTGAGCCCGTCTCGACCCTACCCACTTTGTTGAACTGCTGCTGCAACACTGTTGACCTGAAGTAAGGTAACAAAAAAAAAAAATTTGAAATTTACTACTCGCTTTCATAGCAAGATGGACAGTATTATTGTGGTGAGGCCAGCTTGTCCAGTTTCTATTTTATGGTTATTTCAAAGCCCTCAAAATATGCTGCGTGGATAATAGTACAGTACTTCATGTTTGAAAGAACAAAATGACACAGAGGAATGCTGTTGACGGAAATGGAAGAACACACACATACTTTTTAGGGGACACGGAGTCCTCCAGCATCGTTGACTCTTCATCTCCCTCCAGCCCAAAGTGGTCTTTGCTTTTTTTCTGTCCAAAGACATTTTTGGCAGATACAGTTGACCATGTGGATCATATAGTTTTGATTTAAAAACACAGAAACTGGATATCAGAGAATACTTTAACTATTGTCAGTGAATACTGATACAATGTGAAAAGGTTTTCATTTCAGTAAATGTTATCCAGGGGAATCAACCATCTGGTGAAAACAATGCGTTGCAGGCTTGAGACAGTTATTGCAAGTAAGGATGATGCTACCAAATATTAAATGTTATTCACTTTAAGCTAATGTCCTAATGTCTGTTCCAATACTTTTGCTCAGTTGAAAAGTAGATTTCATGTGTTCCACGTAAGCCTTTTTTCATGAAATTCCGTTAATAGTGTCTATTGTTTCAAGATTCAGTTGTCAGTAATCATAACAAAAAAATCAAATAGTTGGGTATGTATGTGCATTCAAAAGTTCAGCAAAGGTCAAATTCAGGTCACCTGAAAAAAATCACAGCACATTTTAGGCTCATCTTGAAATTTCGCAAGGCAAACATTTCTCACTTTTAGTGAGTTGTATACGGTCCATTTCCGTCTGCTCTTACAAAGTATCACACAAGTATTTGCTTTGCAGCTTGACAACTTCAACATTTTCTCCAACAATTTTCACAGTCAAGTTTTGAGGCTCGTACGAATGCTTCCTCCCTTTAGTGCTGATCTTCACATTATAACATTTCAATGAGATGGAAAAAATATTAACATTAAAATGAAATGATGTCTGTGTCTTATGTGTTATGTGGTATCATTTTGTCATTTAATGTTAACTGTTCTGTTGATGGCCGTGCGGGCACCCGCCGCGGCTCCTCTCTCTCTCTCTCTCTCTCTCTCTCTCTAACTGTTCTTGGTGGCCGGGCGGGCCCCCGCCGCGGCTCCTCTCTCTCTCTCTCTCTCTCTCTCTCTCTCTCTCTCTCTCTAGCCCCGTTCACACGGCAACGTTTGGTCCGACGCTGCGCCGAAACAGATCCAGTCGAGCGTTCACACGTGCACATTTGCTCCGACGTAGCTCCACTAAAGAGCTTATACCGGACCAAATTTGATCTACCTCAGGGAGGTGGTTTAAAAATTTGCTCCAGAGCAAATGCTTGTTTGCGACGCTACGCCGAAACAAATGTGCACGTGTGAATGCAGCTGGGTTAAATTTGCTCCAGAGCAAATGCTTGCTTGCGGAGGAGTGGCCTCGCTACGCTCGCTACCAGATGCACGGAATCCGACCCCGGTCGACAGTGACGAGGGGGCCAGCGACACAGACGAAGCCCGGCCGTGCACCCCCGTTCCCGGTAAAAGTGTCGGCGATTTAAGCGGTGAA